AATAGTCTAAACACTAGAAGCTCTTGTTTCGTTTTTGTTTTTTGGAAACGGTGTAAACGTTTGTCTCGATAAACTTGCCAATGTCAAAAAACCCTTCACACTAAACCTTTCTCTCTCCCTCTCCCCCTCTTTCTCTCTCTCTCTCTCTCCCTCTCCCTCTCTGTCTATTTATTTATCTATCTATCACTATCTTCTTCTTTTCCTTCTCCATCTCCATCTCCTCCTCCCTATCTTTCTCCTTTTCCATCTCTCCCCTCTCTTCCCTCTCCTTATCCTTCTTCTTCTTCCCCTTCTTTGTTTCTCTTTCTCTTTCTCTGCCTGTGCCCCTCAACCCCCTCCCTCTTTTTTCTCATCATTTTTGGGACTGACAGGCTCGTTCACCCCCCCCCCCCATACTCATCCACAGCCCCTCCCCCTTTCCCCTCCCGCATCTATCCCTTTAACTCAAGGACTTATCACTTCGAAAGAGAGAGAGAGAGAGTGAGAGAGAGAGAGAGAGAGAGAGAGAGAGGGAGAGAGAGAGAGAGAGAGAGAGAGAGAGAGAGAGAGAGAGAGAGAGAGAGAGAGAGAGAGAGAGAGAGAGAGAGAGAGAGAGAGAGAGAGAGAGAGAGAGAGAGAGAGAGAGAGAGAGAGAGAGAGAGAGAGAGAGAGAGAGAGATTAAATGAAGTACGAGGGAGAAGGGGGGAAAAAGACGAAGAAGAAAAAGAAGATAGGAGGAGAAGAAAGCGCTATAGGGAGGGAGAGGGAGAGAGAGAAAGAGAGAGAGAGAGAGAGAGAGAGAGAGAGAGAGAGAGAGAGAGAGAGGGAGAGAGAGAGAGAGAGAGAGAGAGAGAGAGAGAGAGAGAGAGAGAGAGAGAGAGAGAGAGAGAGAGAGAGAGAGAGAGAGAGAACAAAAGAGAAAGAAAGAGAAAGGGAGAGAGAGAGAGAGAGAACAAAAGAGAAAGAACGAGAAAGGGAGAAAGAGAAAGTGGGAGAGGGAGAGAGAGAAGAAAAAAAAAGCGAGGGGAAAAAGAGAAAATGAGAAGATAAAAAAAGAGAAAGAGAATGAGGGAGGATCAGCAAAAAGAAACAATACAATACAATCAAGAAAAAGGAAGATAAAACGAAAGAAAGAAAGAAAGAAAAGAGAGAACAAAAGACGGCGCCAAGGGTCACACTGGCTACCTTAGCCTGGCATCTCGCCTGTGTAATACGAGCCGTGGCACTCCCCCCCTCCCACCCTTAACCCTACCCTCCCCCTCCTACCCTCCCCGATACCCCATGCCCCTACCCCAATAGTACCCCCATCCAATCTCCACGCCGTTGCCAGGTTTGTGTCCATCTCGTCTTATTGACAGGGGGGGGGGTGGAAGGGGAGGAGGGGAAAAGGGAGAAGGGGAAGAGGAGGGGAGGAAGGGAGAAGGGGGAGGGAAGGGAGAAGGGGGGAGGGGAAAGGGAGAAGCGGAGGAGGGTTGAAGGGAGGAGGGGAAGAGGAGGGGAGGAGGGAGGAGGGGAGGAGGGAGGAGGGGAAGAGGAGGGGAGGAGAGGAAAAGGGAGAAGAGGAAGAGGAGGGAAACGAGGAGGGGAGAAGGAGAAGAAGAAGAAGAAGGGGAAGGGGAAAGGGGGGAGGGAAGAGGAGGTAACAAGGGGAGAAGGGGAGGAGGAGGGGAGAAAGGTTGAAGGAGGTAAAAAGAGAAGAGAAGAGAAGGTAAAATGGGGAGAGTGAAGAAGGGGAGAAGGGAGGATGGGGGGGGGAGGGGAAGAGGGATAGAGGGGAAAAGGGGAGGAGGAGAGTGAAGTGGAAGAAGCGAAAAGGAGGATGGGGAAAGAAGGAGAAAAGGAAGGGAGAAAGGGAAGTGGAGAAAGGGAAGAGGAGAAAAGGGGATGGAGAAGGATAAAGAGAGAAGGGGAAGGGGCAGAGGCTAAGGGGGAGGGGAAGAGGAAGGAGAGGAGCAGAGGGAGAGGGGAAGGGGAAGGAGAGGAGCAGAGGGGGAGGGGAAGGAGAGACAGTTTAGAATTCCTGTTGTGAAATTTTTCCCCTGGGGATTTTGGGCATCTTCCCGGGGCAGATTCTTACCGCGTGTGTCTCTTCTTTGCAGAGGCACCTTGTCTTTCGCTTTCATTCTTCTTCCTCCTCCTTCTTATGTCTTCCTTTATCCCCTTGTCGTTTACACTCCCTCTTTCACTCACTTTCCCACACTCTCCCCCGTCCACTCTCTCGCACTTTCGCAAACTCTCGTACACTCTATCTCTCTCACCCACGTACCTACTCACTCACCCACCAACCCCTTTACTCACCCACCGATCCAATTACCCACTCATTCACCCACGAAACGACCCATCCACTCACTTACTCACCCTCCCACCCATCCAGTCAGCCCACCCACTCCCTGACTCACCCACTCACCCACTCACCCACCCACTCCCTGACCCACCCACTCACCCACTCACTCCCTGACCCACCCACTCACCCACCTCCTTGCCCGCCCAATCCCCACACCCACCCACTACCCACCCACCCATCACCCACCCACTTAACTCCCAAGACTTCACCAACCTGCCTACCTGCATATCCTGAAATACTCTTTAAATTCATAAAAGCAAAGATGCACGACCGATTTAGTACATCACTGCTGATAAGAAGGACTCCGATCGGGAAAGATAAAGAAAGGAAGGGAAGGGAAGGGAGGGGAGGGAAAGAGAAAAGAAAAGAAATGGGAAGAACAGGGAAATAAATCATATGCAAATATGAACAAATTAAGAGATTAAAAATTATATATATATAATATGTGTGTGTGTGTGTGTGTGTGTGTGTGTGTGTGTGTGTGTGTGTGTGTGTGTGTGTGTGTATGTGTGTGTGTATGTGTGTGTGTCTGTGTATGCATACTTATTTATATTTGTATCGGGCACGCTTACATATACAAATGAAAATACACGGGCTTAAGTACGTACACACGTTCACAGGCACGCGCGCACGCACAAAGACAGACAGACAGACACACACACACACACACACACACACACACACACACACACATACACACACACACACACACACACTTCCTAATACCGCACATTTCTTCTGTGATGTTCAACCAAATCCTAACTTCAATAATTTCACATACATCCAACAAATTTGTCAAGCTAATCCAATTAGGCATTTTTGTTTTTGTCTTCACAACGAGTTACACATGGCCGTACCCGTTCATTTTTTTTCCCTTCTTCTTTAAAGTTAATCTTCACTCAAGCGAATCTGCAATGAATTAGGGCGCGTCATCTAAGTCACGGAGGAAGGGGGTGGGGGGTGGAGGGGGGATGGAGAGGGAAAAGGAGAGATAGAGATATATGGAGATAGATAGAAAGAAGAAGAGAAGAGAAGAGAAGAGAGAGAGGGAGAAGGAACATGAGAGGCAGAAGGAAAAGAAGAGGGAGTCATAGTGCGAAAGGGAAAGTGAGAGGGGGAGAAAAAGAGAAACAGAGAAAGGAAGAGACGGAACAGAGAAATAAAAAAAGAGAGAGATGGAGAAAGAAAGACCTACTACTTACTCCCATCTTCAACGGACCTAAATTTTCCCGCCAAAGACTCGAACGTGCGACCAACCCAGACGAAGAGAAACCGGACACCTTATTAATTATATCAATTTCACACTTATAATCCGTTCTACCAAATAGAAGAAAACCCTATCTACGTATTAGAACATATAAAGCGATAGTAACACACACGCACGCACACACGCACACGCACACACACACACACACACACTCGCTCATTCAACACACACAAAATAAATAAATATATAAAAATAAAATAAAATTTATGAATATAAGAGGAATTTATTATCCAATTATTAACATCATTTCGACTTTTTGAAATAATTTTTGTTTGTATAGTTTTCCTGTTTATCTTCTACCTCTTCCTCTTCTCTCCTCTCTTATTGTTAACATCGCAGGTTTTCTCTTCTCCTCCTTTTTCATCTCTTCCGTCTCCGTCACCGTCTCCCGTTTTTGTGTTATTCTTTTTTTCTTCAATTATTTCTCTCTCCTTATGTTACACTAACATTTGTACTCTCCCTCTCTCTCCCCCCTCATTTCCCCTTCTCCCCCTCTCTCTCTCCCCTCTCCTTCTTCCTCTCCCTCTTCCTCTCCCTCCTCTTTCTCCTTCTTCCTCTCCCCTCCTCTTTCTCCCTCTTCCTCTCTCTCCCTCCCCTTCTCCTTCTCTCTTTTTGTCTTTCTCACTTTCGTTTTTTGTGTATTTCATTGTTTTTTCTCTTCCTAACTTCCACGAACATTTGGCAATAGTGAAGGGCTTTGCGGTTGCCGTTGCCATTTCCTCTACAATTGAAAGGAGGTTCAGAGGGGGAAGGGGGGTAGAGGGAGAAAGGTGTGTGTGTGTGTGTGTGTGTGTGTGTGTGTGTGTGTGTGTGTGTGTGTGTGTGTGTGTGTGTGTGTGTGTGTGTGTGTGTGTGTGTTTGTGTTTGTTTGTGTGTGTGTGTGTGTGTGTGTGTGTGTGTGTGT